AATCTTTTAATTGGCTTTATAGAAATGCAAAATTCTTGTCTAGAATTCAAGTACGCATCAAAATCTAGGTCATGGTGGTCGAATTTATATCGAAAACGAAAAAAAATTAATATTTTTGGTTATACGTGACGACCACCACATATAAATTCGACCACCATGACCTAGATTTTGATGCGTACTTTAATTCTAGACAAGAATTTTGCATTTCTATAAAGCCAATTAAAAGATTAGTGCTAAGAAAAAAACCGAAAAAAACCGGCTAGGATCACGGCTTTAGGATCACCTTAAAATGTAGTCTCTACACAACTAATTATTAACCCTTTGGAAACAGCTTTTTTAAAATAGGACTTGTATATTTCCAGTTTAGGTATCCTTTATCCAGAACGTGGAAGGATTCCGTTTCGTTTGGTGGGTTCCGCATAGGATTTTTGGTCAAGGAGCTTGCGACGAGCCATCTCGGTGCTCGTTATTCCTGATGTTGATCTCTCACACTTTTTTTAATATTATTGAATATTATGCAGCATCGATCCTCGCCAGGACTCGGTATACGTGATATCTCGTGCGAGAAACGCGCCTAAAGTACACGCTTGATCCTCAGGGTTCCCCAGCCTTTCCTTCCTCCAGCCTCCAGCTCCAGCCTCCAGTTAGTCCAGTTGGAGCGATCAACCGGATCAACACGCAAGCAAGCAGGCAGGCAGGCGGCAGGTCTAGTTACATAATGCAGGCATCATGAACGTGTTGATACCGACGTGTTCAAAGATGGTCGGGATAATGCCGTACGCCTGTAGAAACGGGCTACGTCAAGTGAGTGCTGCGTCGAGGATATCAGGACACATGCTGATCTCTTACCGTGACTTTGTAATCGTTTTTTTTTTGCCTGGTGCACGGCGAACTGTCACCAGCTCTGGAACAAGCACATCTTCAAAGTGTCTTACTTGACGTATCTTGCTTTTTTTTTTCTTTTTTCTTTTTTTTTAACTCTTAGCTTTGTGTTTAAGATGGAATGGAACATAAAAGTGTCAAGTTCTTTGCATCAATAATTAAGTTTGACACGTAAAAATTATATTTTAACAAGATTGCTATTAAAATGCCTTGTCCATTATATCCCTAGACAGCCAAGTCTGTCAAAAACAGAGATTCTGCAAAGTTCTTGTTACGAATCTTATCTGGTGGAGTGCCAGCAGAAATAGTATAAAATTTGTTAGAGTATGATGGACTGTCTGGATACAAAACTATATAGAATCTCGTCCGTTCGTAATCATGTAATTGGAATATATTACGTCAGTCGCAATATCTTGCTTAAATTTGCTGGCAAACCGCTAGTGTACTCTATTAACGTTTTGCTTACTGAATAGCCTTTAGCTTGAGGTTTTAACGTTCATAGGTCAGAGCTTTGCACACAGCAGCGGTTCAAAATGCTGAGGCCAAGCTTAAGACCTTCTCGATTTACCGTTGGAATCCAGACAAACCTGATGAGAAACCATATATGCAGAAATATAAAGTTGATCTGAATAGGTAGGTTTTATTTCATTGATTGTGTATTAAATATTTTCGTGAACGTCTCTACGTTCGTTTCTAGCATTTGACATATCTTTTCCAGTTGCGGCCCAATGGTACTGGATGCGCTAATTAAGATTAAGAACGAGATTGATCCAACATTGACATTCCGTCGTTCTTGTCGGGAAGGTATTTGTGGATCTTGCGCTATGAATATCGGAGGAACAAACACCCTGGCGTGTATCAGGTATCGCGCGTGTCACAGCCACCGTATATATTATTACTGCTTGATACCTTGAGGATATTTTATAATCTGATTGACTTTTACATCTCAAGTCATGCATGGAAACTCATATCCAAGATCAAGATTATCATAAATTTAAACTTTGCTAGTGAAAATGAACAAGATGTCACGTACTAAAAGTAGAATACGTGTGTTTTAGCAAAATTGATAACAGCACAAGCACGACATGCGTGGTTTACCCTTTGCCCCATATGTATATCGTCAAAGACTTGGTCCCAGATTTAAATAATTTCTACGAGCAGTATCGCAATATACAACCTTGGCTGCAGCGCAAGGACAAGAAGGAAACTGGAAACCAGCAGTTTTTGCAGAGCGTAGAAGACCGTAAAAAGTTGGTGAGTGCGAGAGATTATTATTATATTTATTTGATTTTCTATTTTAATTACAGTTACACACCTCTTTAATCTAAAACTAAATGTACAATCCACGTTTGATTGACACAGGATGGTCTCTACGAATGTATTCTCTGTGCTTGCTGCAGCACTTCTTGCCCATCCTATTGGTGGAACGGTGACAAGTATTTAGGCCCTGCGGTACTTATGCAAGTAAGCGCGTCTTAATATTACGCTGTTTTTTAAATGAGATACGTAACGGAATAATCACGTATTGACAAGCGATTTTGGGGAAAAATGACAAGTGAAAAATTCTTTAAGAATGACGTGAGCACATAAAAAACGTAGTCAACACACATCTGTAAAAGAAAACACTTGTACATGTGAGAGATAAATGAAATTGGAATATATGTAACATATTAATGTGCTCTGATATGCTCGGTTCAATCTCGTGGAATTTTTCATCATTTATATCATTTTCTTCTTGGATTTTTCAACCATCATTATTTTCATCAGGCTTATAGGTGGATTATTGATTCGCGTGATACTCAAGCAAAGGAGCGTCTAGAGAAATTAAAGGATCCATTTTCAGTTTACCGTTGTCATACGATCATGAATTGCACGCGTACTTGTCCAAAGGTGAGTTTACGTCACATTAGGATTTGTGTGTTTTTTTTTATGCTTTGCTCTTCGTTTTACTCTGGACAAATGTTTCAGTACTTTTTCGTGCTATACATTCAAGAAACGTTAGCTACGTGCCTATAAATATTCAAAATACATTGCAGACTGTTTGTAATGACGTCTCACAACGAATAAATTTTAAATTATTGATATAATACTGATCACTAGTAGCAGATTATTAATAATTTCGTCTGCTTACTCAAATCTCGATTATTGTTAGACCTTGATTTTCTAGTCACTCGATGCATCAAACTCTCTCGTTTTTATAAAATGTTCCTTAATGTTTATAATATTTGATAAACGTGTGAATTTAAGCTGCACAAATATTAAGGAAGAAATTATAAAAATAATCAGTTGATTGGAATCTGCGGACAATTAAACACAAGTTGGAGAACAAATAGTAATGTACAATATAATTGTTGAGAAACTAATGAAACACGTGCAAAATAAAGGCAAATTTATATAATACGTGAATTTTACTCAAAGCTCGTTACTTGAAAGATTAAACACATATTAAATCAAAGCGCGCAAATATTTTGTGCAGGGTCTGAATCCCGGAAAGGCGATAGCGGAAATAAAGAAACTGTTGGCTAATGTTAGCCAGAAGCCACAACCGGATCTCGCCGCGTCGGGATCTTCATAGTAAAAGGACGACCAGGTAGACGTATCAAGTTGTATACATTTGTCTTATGTATTATGCACTACGTGCAGCCAACATGTAATTAGCGGAATATTTCATACAACTGGAAATATGCAGATCTACGAAAAAGCAGTTGAAATGTCCTAGAAATCGAAAGATTAGTCAAGCACTACTTGTAAATAAAACAAGCTTTCCACATGGAATTATATTATATGCAGTACGTATTAATATAGTAGCAACCCTTGGAACGAAAATTATTTGGATTATGCTTTATCAGTTTAATATTTTCACGGTTCGGCGGCCATCCGAATCCTTGCGGTCTCACGCGATCGATTGTGTACCTCAGCGGTGCGTAATGTTATACCGAATATGTCTTCGTGGTAACGATTTTCATCCTGAAAAAATCCATACGGTGCAGCAAAACGATAAAAGTGCACAACAGTATTTTATGCTGTTGTGTTGCTGCTTTAAGAAAAGAATAATAATATACGAAAGATGTACCCTCAGTGATAACATATATGCCTCGACTTCTTTGTCCGTCATTCGGCTATGCGTTTGTATGATCTGTTTTAAGGTCTGATAAACGTCTTCCGCCATCGTGCAGTCACCGCAAACGTAGAAATGGCCGCGCTCATATACCACCATTGTGTAAATTTGAGGCGCTTCCGCTTGGATCAAATCTTGCACATAGGTCTAACATTTGTAAAAGATGCAAACTTGAGTTTATATATTTTACATATATGTATACATACACACATACATATGTACGTATGTATGTATAATCTTACGGGTAATATTCGACATTCTTTTTCCGTGACCTTACATCTATAAAATAATTTACATATTTATGTACCTTCTTAATACCGGGCTCTCGGGACAATGCTAAAAACACTTTATCCAAAACACCGGCCTCCAACATTTCTTTCTTCTCTTGTCTGTATAGATCCAACGTTCTCTGACGACAACCAAAGAAGAGCCAAATCTTGCCGAATTTTTGATCTATAAAAATATCGTACGTTTACACAGTGTTTACGTGGTGTCTAAAGAGATGCGTGATGATAAAATTTAAAAGTGCAGAAAATTAAGAGACATGTATGAGAAAAGCACTCGTACTCTGCTCAAGTTTCATCTGAGCAAATCGATGATGCCAGAAACCTCGGAAAGGGGCAATTCCAGTGCCTGGTCCCACTAATATCATTGGTGCTTCAGTTTCCGTCGGCATGTAAAAGTTTGGTGCGCTTAAATATTACGTAATGATTATATTCAACGTAAGATCTTTGCAAGTTTGCACGTTTAAACAACACAAAAAATCAGTCATTCTTTACCTTCGCACAAACACATACAGCAACTCTCCCTCAGATATTTCCCGCAGATAATTGGAGCAAACGCCGAAATGTACTGGCCCAGAGCCGTCTAAAATTAATTTATTAAATATAGTGGAAAAGATGTAACAATATCAGTTTCGTATTAAATTAAATGTGCATAGCGTATGGATAAACGTCTTCGAAATGAGAAAGAAAACGAAACCAAGAAAACCAAGAGGCTTATAAATACTTTGCGCTTGATATTGCACCACTGCGACTGTCAGGTGTATTTGTCCCTGGTGTACATGTGGAGCTGATGAAATGCTGTAGAATCTCGGTTGTAAGGGAGTTAGATGAAGCAGAAGCAATGGAGCAAATGGAGTCACAGATGGAAATTCATCCAAAACTTCGGCCAAATTAGGATACTTCCAATGTCTCCAATCCTCGTAAGCCGCTGGATCCTATTACAAGAAGAGACGTTTTCGTTAAATTTTCCAAGTTTCGCTGTATTTTTTTTGCAACGTATCATGTTTAATGTTGCTGTATATGTTTAATAACGTGCGTTAAGAAACCTTTGTAAAAATTCTTAAAAATTTTTAGCTCTTTCACGCTCTAGCCATTTTAAATTGGAATTTATAATCATGTTATATAGTTGACAACGTTAAATCAGGACGTAATATGAAGAATAATATTCGATGAATAATATTCGAAATATATACTTTTTTCTTTCATGTTTTACATATTTCTCTAGCTTAAAACCTCAACTTTTTATCGCCGTAACCCTTCTCAACGTCTACATTTCGAAAAAAACAGCTACATTTATACATTTTACATATTTACAGAGGCCAGAAGATCAAGCTGCGTCCGTTCTTTTGCGTTTGTAGCTATCGAGGCAAAGTATCTCAACAGATTCGGCGTAGGCGGCGTCGTGATATCCAGAAATCGAGTCAACAACATCCTGAAGGAATTCGGTAAATATCTGTCGTGAGGTATCCACGTTTTTACAATTCCTAGAAAAAGCAGGTATCAGGTTATTTGTATATAATATAAAAGAGAAAGGAAAAATAAAGAGAAACGTGATATCCGCACCATTAGGAGTATGTGCTTGTTTCTGCATTTGCAGTTCGATGGAGGTATCAGGATCGAAAGTAGACTGCACACGGTGCAAGATTTTCTCCACGAGATTCGCACGATTGCACGCAAACACACCCAAGTGATCTCCGGGTTTATAAGAAATATCCATGCCCACTATGTCGTCCAGTTCCAGAAGCAATGTCGTACCGCTGGACTCATCGCGGCTCAAGTTGGTCCTTCGAAGCATCGTGCACATTGTCACGTTTCTGTTATGGCATTTGTTTAATGCTTTGGCGATCGGTTGAGGCGCCGCTTCTACAAAACGGACTGTGGCCGCGGACAATGCTTCGGAACCCAGAGACAAGGCTACTTCCAATAACGTATCGTCGTCGTCCAAGCAAAAGGTTTCGCACGCGATCGCAAAGATATCACCCGCCCATTTCCGAAAGGTCTGCTCCTGACCACACATCTCGTCACCCTGGGCCAAACGCGCCAATCGCTCTCCCCCCAATTCGCCCAACAAGTTGTCGACGTAGCGACCGAACGCACAAAAGTTCGGATACGCGGATGATCCCAATGCAAACACAGCGAATCGGACATTGCTGAGTGGTCCAAAGGTATCCTCGGTTTGCGAGTCCGTCGTAGAACCACGCAAGGAATCAAGTCGATCCAATTTCTTCGACCCGCTCACTTCCGTTTGGCTGTTGGCTTTGATAAATGACTTGGAGGTCGCCAAGCTGAACTTATTCTCGCTGTTTTTTAGAGAAGCGTCGTTCATTATCATCGCGTACAAATTTTGCGCAAAGACCTCTCCATTTTCCGGCGGGTCGCCGTTTCCAAAAGTGGACGTTATCACCAGCAATAGGGCCTCGTGTTCTATGTTACTGATGTCATATTCTTCCATCGAAAGTACCTGGGAATGAAAAGCGTGGCCCAGTAATTCTCCCAACTTTTCCGCATACATTTGGGACGTGCCGGTTTCCGTGGCAAACAGAACGGTCGCTTTTATTCGACGCGATAATGCCCGTCCGAACAGCTTGGACGTAAATTTCACGGCTCTCGCAATCTGCTTGAAGTGAAACTTCCGTCTTGGTTTTTTCGACGTTGCCTTCTTGTCGCGTCCTTTCTTCCATATGTGAGTTTTCCAAGCTGGGTCCTGGGCATCGTAAGAGGGCTTCAAATGATAAAGCGCCATTTCCTGATGAAATACCGGCGTAGCGGATCCAGATATCGGCGGCACGATCCACAACCAGTCGGCGGGACAACCGTTTCGGAGACGCATCTCGTTTTCGTAATGTTTCATGAAAGATTCCGAAGCGGTATGGTGATCCACGATCGTCACGTTCTTCATTTGAAAGCTGTGCAGTACCGCGACGTTAGCTTCTATCATCGCTTTATCCTTCCACAATGATGTGGATGTCCTTGTGTCTAGACCCATGTTCGTCGCTATTGTCTCGAGCATATTATATCTTTGAGCATCGCATAAATCTCTAGAGCCAATCTCGGTGCTCATGTACCAGCCGTTGAAAGGTGCCGCGGTAAACACTAAACCTCCGCAATCGAAAACCATTCCAGACACGGCTGGCACGGCGAACCACTTGAGACCCAATTCCTCAAACCAATCGTATCTATTGTCCAAGTACATATTATATATATATATTACTTATTATATAAGAAATTCATCATCTTCTTCGACAAATATTACACGTAACACTGTATAATTTTTTAATCAACAAATCTGAATATCTAAAGCATTAGCTACAGAACAAAAAATTATCTATATTATCTGTTCGGTTTACCCATGCACGTTCAAATTTTGTCAAATTTACTTTCTCATTCAACGTCGTTCATACAAAAGTCTTTTATTTCCTTCCAAACGTAAAATTAAAAAAAGTGCAGTTAAGACAAATAAACTAGTAGGTAAGGTTTTCATATTGTTCGGGCAATAATTAAATAGTTTTATCAAATAAATAAAAAATATAAAAAAGACTTTTTTGGAAACATTACATTATTTAATAAAAGCTTACGTGGGATGACTAAGAGGTACCTCGAATACCAAGTCGTTAGGAATGTCAAAATAATCTGGATCGTGCCCATTGGCAGATAAAACCAATGGCAGTATGTCAAATCTGGTTCGTGCCCCTTTCCATCCTAATTTCATGCAAACCTATCGAAAGAAAACGAGTGCCTACGTTAAATTATTTTCGAAACACGTGCGCTCCTCCTTTATAGAGAATTTTTTCATCAAGTTGGACATTTTTTCGGTTTAATAAATAATTAAAAAAGAATTTAAATCTCATGAATATATATATATGTATATTCTGACCTCTGTGAATTCTACGTTCGCAGGATCACCGTGAATGGTACCATCTGGATTTTTGTATCCCGCATAATTGATCAATTGCGTGTTCCATACTCTGTAATCATGTTTGCCATCGGTGCGCTGCGGAAATATTGTTATTGCGGATCTGAAAACGTGTGCATATAAATATAATTAGGTATATATATCCTGCACAGAAGTACACCTGGCAGTATTTAAAATGTTTCGAGTTCTTTATATCTTTGAATCTCTACATCTTATTATAGCTTTACCCGCATGATATAAATGGAGAAGGATACGTCGCTGTTTTGATTTAATATCTCTGGTACATCTCTATATGGCAAAATTTAGAAAAACGTACGCTATAAAACTCGAATAAAAACTATCTGTATTATAATTACACTCTACCTGATGTTTCCTTTATTTGTACTGTACTTGATATGATTGCACAAAGCCTCGAACATGCCGCTTGTGGTTGTAACGTAACGGCAATCAAAAACCTGCAAGTGCATTTGTTTTATAAACAAATGTAACTTTTCGGTCATCTATGAACCGCCGTCGTGATAAATGTTGTGTTTTTTTTTCTACGATGGTATATGTATGAACAAGTTGAAATGTAAAATGAACCTGTAGCTTTGACCACTGTATGCGACCAATGCATCTTGCAGCATTCCGCCAAGCCAACTTTGCGCCAAAAACCAGTTCCGTTTCCGTCAACTGATACGTACCAGTGGAAATCACTTCTCTCTGCACACTCTCCAAACGTGCGCGATGAGCATCGCTATTTAATCTACGAGAGTCGTTCAAACATGAAGAAAAGCTCATGATTTACTGGAAGGAATCTTCAAGCAATATTCACATCTATGAATACTCTGACAGCTTTAATACCTTCTGATGGAAGTGAAATATTGCTCCAAAAAATCAGTTGCGTGAAGCAAGATTTCTTCTTTCGTGCGTGGATCTGTTCCATGAGTTGGCAGCTGCATCACGCTACCAAGACAGACTTGGCCCGTGCAAAGGATTTTCTGGGAACGTTGTAAAATATTTTATTTTTATCGTTTTTACTATATATTCTTTATTTTCATGTCAACTATATATACCTACGTATCAAACGACGGATGAAAAGAGAACAAAACGTACAATGAAATATTCCAGCGTAATCTGTATAATAATACGTCTTGAAAAAAAAAAAAGAAAAATAATGCGTCTATATGAAGCAACGAATCACAGATATATAATTTTCTCGTGCAAAGCTTCGTCAAAAATTCGGTTTTGAAAATTGGATTAAAAATGTATATCTTCTCTGATGAAAAATATTATTTTTAAACTTGGACAATCTTTAATTATATTATGATACATATCATCCGATGCATTACAACAGCTATCAAAATACAAATAAAACGAACGCAGCAGCCCATTAAAAAATTAATAGAAAATAATAAAAGTTATGGAATGAACAAAGTATCAATATTATTACCATATCTTTAATAGAATGAATTGTTTTCTTTCATATTATATTCACACACACATTAGTATATTAATACGTTAAATAAATTTGCACATGCATGTCTGCATATAGGATACGTTGGGATACGTATACAAGATCAAAAAAGGCCGTACAAATTTATCAACTTTTAAAAGAGAAACAATTTTTTTTTTAAACAGCTTCGTAAAAATATTTTCTTGCTTTCAATTTTTAATTTGTTTTTTTTTTTTTTTTTCACATTTCGTCCTAGTCAGTTGCTAAAAAATTTCACGATAGGTTTTCCAAATAACGCACGACTCTACGTCTCAACATCCCTATAATCATATGCTGTCGATTTTCAATATTTCAAGGTTTTTATCTCCAAAATACCTCGGCATTTCTCACGTGCAAGGAATCAAACGCCTCCGTCTTGTCCGCGAGATTCCTGAGTTTCGTTGGCTTTCTTTGATGAGGTGTTCCGTCGTGGTCTTTCATTTTTGCGTTTTAGCGTTTAACTGATTCTGCCCAACACACTGGCAACAAGCGCGACGATAAGGAGGAAAGGACGAGAGGACAGAGCGCAGAGATGACACAACGCAGCATCTCACGTGCCGTCATCTCACATGCGCCAGCATGCGCAACATTGATCCATTCCGCTTGTCCTCGGGACGTTTGCGAGATCAATCAACGGACAGGACTTGTCGCGTTGAAATGAAACGTTGTGATAAATTTACAGCCTGCACGCCGTTAACGTTTCATATATTAATGCCATTATTTTTATGTTATTTCCAAGATTTTAATAATAATGATAATGATGAAATACGTGATAAAATAATAATATAATAGCAATAAGAATAATTAAAATATGATGATATTATAATAATAGGACATTACATGTAATACAAAATTTACTATTATTGCTATTATATAAAATATTATTAAATAATAAAATTTATTATTATTAAATTAAATGATTTTATCAAGAACCAAATATCTCTGAATGTACCTTTTCAAGAGCGTTACGGCGTGAATCTTTTTTTCTCAAGGTCATAATTTTCAGCTTGAAAGTAAATGTGATTTTTTAATAAATAAACATTTAAATAAATGTTTTATAGCTAGCACTTCATTACAAGTCATATTGTTTGATATAATCATTTAAGCTCGAACGTGTAGTACTAAATTTACGAGTTTTTTGCATCTGCTACTAGCAAGCTAAATTTAAAAAAATGCAATGTCCTATTTTAACAAATCAAAGGACATAACATTGGATTATATTGAAGACGAAAACTTTGTAAAACGTACTTTCAGCTATTCGACATGTCTCATTGAACAGAATCCAACTCCGTAGTACCAAAAGTGACAAAGTTACATATATTATACACACATATATATATATATATATATATATATATATTTGTTTATTTTACGACTCACCTGGTATTATGATGAATTTACAAGAAAGGGAAAAAGAGAAGATGGAAGATGTGGGAGAGATAAAGCGGAAAATCGAGGTACATTTGATTAAATGTTGCAAGACTTGAAAAATATATCACAGATGTTTACAACTTTTATATTGTCCCGTATTTTTTAAATATCCATTCCATATCCGGTACAAAAATATACGTGCGCATACGATTTTAATTATCTATCATAGTCGAGGAACAATCCCACTTCATAGATCTCTCAATAGCCATTTTCCACTTGGAATATCGAAGATCTCTCTCTAAAATGAAAACGAAAAGTTTGTATGTTATCATCAAGTATTTTTTATTTTATATATATAGGATAAATATATAGGACACATATTTACCATCTTCACCAATCTCGGGTGAAAATTTCGTTACTTGAGATGCATCCACTTCGTTTATATCAATTAAACCTACACCACGGCCAGCTAGAATGGCAGCACCTAATGCTGTCGTTTCAACCATGTTTGGTCTCACTGTGTTTGCAACGTAATATAAATTAAATAATAATATAAAAAATTATATTTAATGGATTTAAAAGAATATATCGTTTGCTCACCAACAGTAATTCCGGTTAAATCCGCCTGCAATTGCATTAACAAATCGTTCACAGTCATGCCGCCATCAACCTGCAGAGTCGTCAGTTTCGTTCCTGAATCTTTTACCATTGCTTCCAATATGTCTCTCGTTTGGAAGCAAACTGCTTCTAATGCAGCTCGTATGATGTGATATTGCTGCGTATCCTCGGTAATACCACAGATTACTCTGTTAACGTGCGCAGATAATATGAAGATGATCGATTATACACACAGAGGACGCTTGACAATCTTACACAACGGTAGAAGAAAAGAAAAATGGTCAAGTGCAATACCCGCGCGCATCCTGTTGCCAATAAGGCGCGTACAGCCCCGAAAAGGCCGGTACGAAATACACGTCGCCAGAGCATCTTACACGCTCTGCCAAATCCTGCGTTTGCGTGATATTACTGAGCATTTGCATGTTGTCTCGCAGCCAGGATAAAGCAGCTCCAGCAACAGCGACAGATCCCTCTAATGCGTAAACAGGTGGAGCGTGTGCGATTTTGTAAGCGACCGTAGTTATCAAGCCTTGCGTCGAATCGACTTTCTGCAAAACATTTTTATACCTTTAATTAATTTTGATATAAGAACGTACATCTCATGGAATTATTTTATATTTCAAGGAAATACTTTTTACATGTATCACACGTATGACGTGTTCTGTCATACATACTGTATTTCCTGTGTTGTAAAGCAAAAAACATCCTGTGCCATATGTAGCTTTTGCTTGACCAGGTTTCAAGCATAACTGGCCAAGGAGAGCGCCTTGCTGATCACCCACACACTGCAGAGAATAAAAAAAAATTTCATATACATGAGCACACGTTGCTTCTTTTACTTTCAAAGGCATTATAAAAATAGAACAAGATTTTTTCAACTTGATAAGAATAAAAACCGCCGTCTTGTCAAATTTTTTCGTTTTACGATACTCGAAAACATACGTCCATTTAAAAATGATTGCTCTTAAAATGCTGAAAAAGGATCACGTGCAACTATATATGCACGTAATGTACTACGTTTTGCTACCTTTTAAATAAAATAATTTTTCTGCAAGTTTCCAATATCATTACTGGCTCTCAATAAGAGATTACTTAAATAGTCTGTAAATAAAAAAATGCACAGGTACGTGTCTTAGATGCATACTCACACCTGCTATAGGTATGCCCGTGAGAACTTGAGGATTTGAAACAGAGCCGTAAATCTCTGCGCTGGATCGTATCTCGGGAAGGATGTGCTGCGGAATGCTGAAGAAGCGGCATAATACAGGATCCCACTTCAGTGTATCGATATTCATCAGCATCGTGCGTGACGCATTCGACACATCCGTAACGTGCAACTGGCCCTTTGTGAGATTCTGAACGCAAGAAACATTCAGCAATGAGATAGCAACTGACGTTGTTTTTGTTTGCTTGGTTGCTTCTTGAACTTAATGCTGCACATTTACCCAAATGAGCCACGTATCAATCGTTCCGAAAGCACACTTCTGCGCATCTATCGCTTGCTTCACGCGTGGAATGTTATCTATCAACCAGCGTATCTTGAGAGCGCTGAAATAGGGAGACATCGGTAAGCCGCATAGAGGTTTCAAGTAATTCTTATTTCTCGTTTTGTTGGGAATTTTATCAAGTACATCTTCTAGAGTGGTAGTTGTCCTCATATCGTGCCATACTGCAAAAATAGTAAACTTTATTTAATATTATTTAATTCCTTGGGTAGGACAGAAGATCACGTTCTCCAATCTATAGTCAATCTGTATTAAACTCTATTACATGACGTAGGGAATAAAATCTGTCGTTAAAGCTCAAGAAACAAATTTGCTCCCTATATTCATTTTTATACCAATTGCATTATGCAAAGGCTCGCCGGTCTCCTTATCCCACACCAGTGTTGTTTCCCTTTGATTAGTAATCCCAATAGCTTTGATATCCGAGACTGGCATGCCAAGATTCTTCATCTTTTTCACTGTCTCTTCTATACATGTTATGACAGCTTGTAATATTTCCTTCGGATCTTGCTCCACCCATCCCTCTTGAGGACATTTCTGCTTGATTTCGATCTGATGCAAAGCAACCACCTTCCTGCGTAAAACGTCAAACACCTAGACGTAAAAGAGAATTTTTTTAATTTCAAATAAGCGAGGTCTGTTCTGTTTACAGGTTTACACACTGCCAAGAATTGACGTACGCCTCGTCGAGTTTATCTTACCAAAAATCTGGCGCTACTCGTTCCCTCGTCGATAGCACCTATCAAAGGCCCGTTTTTTTTCACGTTCTCAGGCATATCGGCTTTTTACAACTTG